TATTCGGCTTTTTTCGACATACAGAGCACAAAACAGAGACAAGTGGATGAACAACTCATCGACGTCAGTCGTTGTATTAGGTGGACGCTTTAGTAATGTCGGATTTTCTACCTGAATTCCACGCTAGTAATATCATTGTTCAGGAGGTGGGCAGCGCAGTGGTGCTAATTACGTTCATTATGAACACAGTGCTTGCTCAACTGCTCCTTAGGCGCACCAAGCCCCGCACACCTACGGAGTCAAAAAACTGGTAGCAGACTTGTCGCCTCACTACCTGTAGTCTATGTGGTAACGCCTTATCACGGCTGTCCCGGGATTCTAGGGGGAATCGCCTCGAAACGAGACTCATGGCGATAACGAAAAAATACTCAAGCAGCAGTTGAGCCCAAACGCAGAATAGTTCGAAGATCTTCGTGATGGTGGATGAGAAATAGATTTAAGGGTGGTTCATATGAAAAATTGTTATTGTCTCCTATTTCAAAACCTACTTCTTTCTCGAATATTTGCCGCTCACGTGATCCATCCTTTTTCCATCGTTCAACTCCCATTGGTTTTAAGTTGGTTGGAACGACGCTTTTATGGCCAGAAAGTTTTTTCTGCTACCTAACTCCTAACTCAGTCATAATTAAGCAGAAGGAACTCGAAAGGTTGTCATAGTATGTAACATGGAAGCGTCTCCGGTGAGCAGTGGGCAGATGGCTTAAAAGTTTCTCAGCAGAAACTTAAGACTTGAAGGGGAACTTTGCGGGACATCCGCCAGCAGTTGATGAGACTGTCTGAAGGCAATAATCGATGCTAATTCTCTAAGAAGTATGCGGTCGTTGTAAAAAAAACTCGACATCGATCACTCCACACTCGATTTTGCTTAAAAAGTGAATGGGAAAGTGAAAAAGCGCGAAAAATGGGTACCACACAATTTGGACGCATACGCAAAAAACCTTATGTATTACCACGTGGCATTCCATAGAACAAGGATCCTTTGGGGCTGCTCAAAATGTATAGTGCAGTGGTTGGACCAAGATGAAATTCGTCAACATTTCGCGGGACAGCATTTCCATCAGAAAATGTTATGTTGATTATCTTGTGTTCTGCAGCCATTTTGATCGCACACGATTTTCTGAATGTTAGTGAAAAATTCACAACTGAGATGTACCGTGGCAATCTTGGGAAGTTGCCTTTAGAAGAAAAAAGCAATTTATCCGGAATTAGTCATTGGGAAAGATCCAGTGTTCTTGCAGAGCGACGGTTTGCGACAAATTTCATAACTAACGATGACGGAAGAAGAGAGCTACGCAACAGCCACAAGCATAGGACTCTTCGAAACTTCCACAATGCGACTACCAATTCGCATAGCACTTCTACAACCATTTGCTCAGAACATTTTCAAAAAAAAGATTCACTCTTGAAAACAGCTTGGGGAGATTAGTCCATTACAAAAGTCGAAAATTCTACTTCATCGGAAGGAAAAATTTTTTAGTGGAGAAAGCGTAGATTTCGTTGGCTATTTTTTTGACTAGTGAAGCTAACTAAAAATTGCTTTAATAAAGTGAGGAGATAGTAGGAAACGGATAACGCAGTGGTATGATGTCCGTCATCACAAGAACGGTCCTAGTTCGATTCCGCTCTGGGCCAACCAAGCCTCTCATCCCTCCGTGGTCGCGAAATTGGTACAGGACTTGTCTGGGAAAAAATCGCTCTCAGCAATCCAATTGGGAACGCTTCAGCCTGGCTATCTCAGGACTCCAGGAAGTTGCTCGACCAGTATTCTACGACATTCAAAATGAAATGAAAACCCTCAAGCAGAAACCGAAGCCACACGTGGAAATTTGGAAGTTGGATCTTCGTGGGCGAGGAAGGGAAGGAAGGGAAGATGCGAGGAAACGAATCGAATGTGAGAAGTGTTGGGATCCGTCCCCACAGTAGACGTAAAGATGGATCATATGAAATAAAAAATAAGTAAAGTAATGTTTAAAGCGGGTTATAGCTTTTCAAATTTGTGGATCCAACATCGCTGTTGTTTTTGCATCAACGTAATAATATATTAGTACATTCACACGTTGCTCTCAGTTTACCGGCGACTGAGTCGAGTGGTCACTCATAGCCAGCCCTTTTCCTCACCGCATGAACCAGTGGCTCGATAGGTTCCGTTGGCTCTGTGCTTTCTAGTATCATGCTCTCTTCCGCGTTCTTCACAGAGAGATCTAGCAATTGAGTCGATGTTTTTCTGCTGTGGGCCTGGCATTCCGTGGGATCTAGTCTTTAATAGTGGCCGTTATTCATCAGTTATCGTGAAAATGCATCGCTTGTCCAGCTCACTTGATTTCCTGCATCTATATAATGGCATTTCTGGTCTTTAATTACCGACCTCGGTTCCCTCTCTCAATTGCGTCATTTAGGATGATCCGAGCACCGCATTGACTGAGTTATCTTTTGCCCTGCATTCCAACTAAGTTTCCCGTGGGTATGTTAGGGCAGGAAAATCGTAGTCGCGAAAAGCCGAGCAAGGATCAAGTGTCCTTAGTGCTCTTTATGACATTCTTGATACATCCCCGAGACGCTCGCTTCGTATTGTTCAGTTCTGTGGATAACTCATTCACCACATTAACTTCCGGCCGCACATACATACAGATGTAGCGTTTGGGGAGCATTTTCTTCCCATTAAGTCTAAATGAGGTGTCGGAAAAGAATTCATTTCTCTCCCAAACATTGCTCATTTGAATTTCAATGGATGGCCAATCTCTCCACAGGCGAAATCGACAATCGTTTGTGCCGCCTGGCTAATGTTTGATGTTGTAAAAACGGCATCATCAACAACGCTAAGTTGATGTGCAGCCATCAAACTGCATCGCGCGATAGAATTTTCCGTCCATCAGTGTTGTAAAATTGTGAAATTCTGGTTGTTTAGTGGTTCTATTGCTCATGAAAGACCTTAATGCCCTGAGTAGTAACGCCCCAGCTGTCCATATTTTCTATGAGAGGTCCTGTTTCAATTGAACTGATAGCTTTTTTAAACTCAATCAAATGGTTGTCTTCGTGTTTTCTCAAACCTATTGAGGACGAGTTAAATGAGAACAGCATGGAGTAGGCAGATTGAGCGATTGGTGCCGATATTATCACTATTGCTCCCTTGCTGTTCAAGAATACGGTGTTGCCATTCCTATTTCTTGTTGGGGTACCCCTCGTTCCGACTGGTAGCATGCGAAAAATCAACGTGTAGCTCACGGCTAGTGGTGGGTTTCTCAGATGTTTTAGGCTAATTCTTTACCTATGGGATTTTATGCGATTCTTCACCGACAAGGTGACATCTCGAACTTTGGGAGGTAGAATTGTCCAGACGACATATCTCTGATTTTTAACCTGATGTGGAAGCAGTTGGCGAAGTATTTGAAAGGATTATAATGGAATTCATAGGTGATCTACATTGCTTTTCTGAGTCAATGATTCCCACTTCGCTGGAGAGCGATCACCTCTTCGGTAGGTAAAGGGCATACGACGTAGGGTCTTGCGGATTCTCTTCCTGTTTTTCCGTAGGTTAAAAAACTCATCGCAATCCTTGCAAGAGAAATATGTACTGTCGCCCTTTTTCCTAAGATTTTATTTTATTCTTTTTGTACTTTGCAAGCTTAAGCGTAACTTGCATGTTTTGGAGACGCTTTAAAGAGGAGATGATGTTCTCCGTAAAGCTTTACCAAGTGCAAACTGAAAGCTTTGACTTCGTCTTCGTCATTGCTTGATGTCGGCGCATAAACGAGGAAGATTGTCAAAGCCGCTTTTAGTCTGCAGCTTCCCGACCGAAAGTGTCCTATTCGGGTTGCTAGTTATTCGAAGAAACCAATGTTGATAAGCAAATTCGTGTTGGCAGAGACGACACCGTTGACCCCTTCATTGTCGTGTGTTTTAAAAAGCAATTTTTCTGTAGAGGCATAAACCGCTCAAATAGGCACCTTGTTCAGTTAGACGAATAATGCTCTTCCCTACGTAATCAGGTTTACAATGAAAGGTTCAGATGCTAAAATTATAAGTGCAGATCTCCATCGTATATAGAGATTAGTCTCCTCAGAATTACACCGCCTAGAATACCGTTGAGATTTGAGCAGCTTCTCCGTACTCGCTCTATTCACCGCTCCCGTATCGTTGGTTCTTTCATGGTTGGGAAAATCATTTTAATTTATTTTTTTATGTTTGGTCTTTTGATGATTACGCATGGCTTGCCGACATGTCAGCAAGGATGTTGGATATACTTATCAGCTTATCAGTATTTCTCGAAGCAGACTTGGAACTTATTTGCTGGCGGCAATTCTTAACCGTCTCCCATTACTTGTCGGCCCTATGAATGTAGTATTTCGGCGGAATTGACTTTCAGAATGCAAGTTCCGTATATGCGAATGCCCTACCCCCGCCCCCTTATGCGAAAGATGTATTTCAAATCGGCGCGAAGGACACAAAGAGTGCATCTTCTAGATTTCTGGATCCAGCCGTATTTCAACGAAGTGGTGCAAAGTCGCTTTTAGTCTGCGTTTAATCATTTTATCGGTTCAACTATGGACTTTTGAAACTGATTCAAAACGAACGGTTAAAGAAGAACTGAAGGTTTACGCCAGGTCCGCATTGCAGTATTTCGGAAATAATTCGGGAACCCATTCCCTAACTCCGTCCTCTAACTCGGGGCAATTGCGGAAATATTTTGGTCATCGTTTTATGCCCATAATTTGGCGAACTCCTTGGTAAGAGGGATCCTTCGTTCAACACTTTGAAAGTAATAAAACACTCTGGTGTTTTTTAAATATAAATTATCAATATATTCAACTACTAATAGGTTGCTTTTAAATGTGGTGTTAACTAAATAATTTCATCTATTGAATTGGATAACTATTAAGCAATTTCAACACTAAAAGAGAGTGGCCTACTATTTTCATCATGCATGCGTTGCTAAAGCGAAACTTTTGGGGCAAACAGAATCAGAACATATAGGGAGCAGTGTTTCCAGGGTTGCCTTAAAGATGATCGTGGCGCGCTTCTTCTCACCTCATCTAATGCTCATCGTGAGCTGCGTGCTCTACATCATCTTTGGAGCACTGATGTTTCAGAAACTCGAAGGAGAGCATTTGAAGGCAAGTGATGTATTAGCCAACAACTACTCTATAGGTCTCGACACTCCAGTTACGTTACTGTTCTAGAAATGAAAGACCTACTGTGAGGAAGTGATAAGATGATTAAGAGATTAACCATCAAGAGTTACACGCACTTTTAAAGCCGGTTTAGTTTTAACTCACATTTAGAAAGGATACTGTAAAAAAATTTCATTTTAAAGAAGTGCATACTGAAAAGAGTGAAATTATCTACTTGGGCATCATGTATCCTTGTAGTCAGAGCTTTGTTCCTCGGCTGTGAATGAATTTCGCTATCTCATATCCCGACTCAGAAAAGTTGTTGCATATCATGGCAAATAGCAAGGTAATGCTCTGTTTCATAGAGTAGAAAACTTCTATATCGTCTTTCATAATGCTGAGATATTTGCAAAACTCCGGACCGCAGGTGTCTGCGGTGGGGAACGAACGCGCTATTGTCCTTTCCGGGGCGTAACGCGTTCACCACCCCACCATGCGGGTCCTTCTTTCCGCGTGCTTCTCAGCTAGTTCTATAGATCTTTTGCCATCAGCAATCACTCGTCAACATACTCAGGCGTTAAAAGAATAGGCAGTAATTAAAATGTTAAAATCTATATCGCCTATTCCTCTACATAGATTAGATTATCTAGTATTAGAATATTAGTGAGCAATGATTCACTGTTTTTCTTCAGTGAGCAAACACGAGGTTGGTATTACAGCATTTGTTAATACGGAATAGTTGATTTTTCGGCTGTGTCGTCTTCTTCAGAGCCTGAAAAGGTCAAAATGACATGCGATTTACCCAGCCAAACACTTTCGTAACCTCAGCAGAGCAAACTTAACACAGAAATTTCCATTCGCATAATAAACAGCTTCTTCCACTGTTTGTTCTTTGCAAGTCTTCTAGTTATTTGGTGGAGACCAACCGCACAAAGTATTGGATGGTCGAGGAATGTGTCGGGGTCAGGTCATAGAGGAACCCTGAGGCATGGCGCGAGGTTAGGCGCGATCACAAGGCACTCCTTCTTGGGGTTCATTTCTGAGTTTTTGGAATTAACCAAAAACGTTCAAGACATTTATGCACTGATGATTTGGATTTCTGTGCGAGGGTAGTGTCTTTTACTTCAAAATCTCCGTTATGTTTCTATGTCCTGTGCGCGCCTAGTGGAGTGTTTGGTTTCAACTTAAACTTACCCACTAAGTGTTCTTTTAGACGGATGATGGTATACCCGTTGCGCTAACGTATTTACCTCTACAAGCTTTGCAAGAGATTAGTTACACCGTATTCGAACTCTTGCAGTGAACGTCTTCACCGTTAGAGCACATCATGCAATTTTGCGTTGTCCATGAGCGGTCATATTGGCGTTTACGAACTAGCTGACACCTTAGAGTGTCCGGTGGTATTTTTATCAGTGTTACCGAATTCTCTCGACCGGCTTTGTTTAAACAACATTTTACAGCTGCAGTGTTTAAAAGAAGCTGTTTATTCTGTGATTGAATCTTATACGTATTATGTTTTACCAGATGAGATTATGAAAGTATTTGGGTGAGTAGATTGCATGTGACCTTTCCAGGCTCTGAGGAAGGCGAAGTAGCCGAAACGTCAGCTGTTCTGTATTAATAAATGCTATAATACTAAGCTCGTGTTTGCATCTTGAAGAAAAACAGTGAAGTGTTGATCAATGCCGACGTTAATAGAAACTCGGTCTTAGGATTTATTAGTGAGCAGTTTTGATTGGATGTCATAACCTTATTAAACTCCTCCTTTAACATCGATGATAATGTCGTTGTAGAATGGCTGTTAAGGACAAAGTTTTGTTTACGGAGTTACTTTATTTACATCAGTTCGAAACTTCGAGATTGGTTTCCCTCGCCTTCTTATGAAATTCAAAAAACGTCTCAACAAAACTTTTACTAGAGTAGATGCGTGGCTTGTTTAGTGGAAGCGGCCACATACCTTCTTCTAAGTTGTTCTTAGTTAGCTCATTGCATAAGTACGAATATGACCATGTCGTTGCCACGGAGCATAGGATCCTATTCACTGAATGCTTTTGCACCTCACTATCTCGGTGGATGTCACGATTGCCAATGTTCTGCGCCTAACCTCTTCTGCTATTTTGGAATGCCCTACATGGACTACGTGGCTCGAGGCATTTCACATGATGAGGATTCATGAAGAATAAATGAATATAAGAACGAAATAGTAATATGATTAGGCATGGGAATTCTTGTTTTTTTCTATTCCTCATTTTCGTTATTCAATGGGAGTCTGTACAATTACAGATTTTTAGGTGACGAAGAACGAGCAGACAGCGAACATCCACAAAAGTGCTCAGTTGTATATTGATCGGTTATGGGAGTTTACAGAAGAGCAAAGCGGCAATTACCATGTATGTTGAATTTGATGAATGGAGGTCTTGAAACTCCAAATAAAGTGAATTCCAGACGCTGGAAGGTATCGGAAAAGCGGCTAAGAGCAGTCTAACGGACGAGTTTCACGGTTACGTCGACGCCGTGTTCAGTGCGCACCGTGCATCAAGGCACGGCTACGATGAGGTGAGGCTAGTTTTCTCTACATCTTAGATATCTCGTTTTAACCATTGCTTTTCATTTCTTAAATTTTCATGAGTATTTTTACTACCTGTAATAATTACGTTTAGTTCATGTTGCTTTTACGACTTTATTTGCTGTTATTTATCAAGTTACGATATTTTTTTTCAAAACATCATGAAGAGTAGTGGATCTAAGAATAAACCAATACCAGGGATCGCTGCTACTTTGGAAGAAACCTAGTTTGAAAGTGGGAGGACTCTATGCGGTCTAAGAAGAATGTGTATTAATACGGATTTGAAGGAATACGTCATCGATCGCGGAACAATTGTGATTAGTCACTAAGGATATTATAACTAATTTATTCAGATGTCGACGTTCCAAAGCATCGGTATTTGTTTGAAAGAACACTGTAAGTTGCAATAATACAGCATTAAGTTGTTGCACAACCAAGCTATCAATTTGTAATTACCAGTGTTCGCAGTAAAAATCCATACGTAAAGAATGGTTGCGTTTTTTGTACTCTGAGGTTAATATGAACAGGTAAGCGAGAGTTGCACAGGTGTGTTCTTCCTTCTAATCGCTAAGCGCTATCCTAATGTTTCCGTTTTAGAACACGCCGACGTGGGATTTCGCGAACTCGGTTTTCTTCACCACCACAATGCTCACCTCTATTGGCTACGGCTACGTCGCACCAAACACATTCGAAGGACGTCTTTTTGGCGTCATCTATTGTCTCATAGGTGAATTTCAGTCAATTTCACACTAAAAGATCAGTTGAAATGTAAGAAAAACGACTTTGCGTTAGCGTTTCACCCTTCAAAAAGCATATTAATTAGGTCTATAGAGGTGACGAGTGCGTAATTAATCCTAGACAATGGGAACTTTATCATGGGAAGATAATTTTTATTTGAATGATTAGACTTTGCCATGAGGTGATGTCTCTTTGATCAAAGGTGGGTAACGATTTCATTTCAGTAACGTAAGCACTGGAACTAATCAGTGTGTTTGTGGATGTATTAATGCTAAAATTTACCATTGTCTCTTGCAAACTAAACAGTACTTATGACAGCCCTAAATTACTAGGTTGGGATATAATTTCTCGCAAATATTCGTTAATATTTTTTTTCGCCCTGACACCGGTTATCATTCTGTTGGAGTTTGTTTTTGAATAATCCATAGCAAAAAGAAAGGACGGACTAAGCGGAGGAATGACTCAGATCTCAGATGGACGATTGGCTGGTAAGTGCATCTGAAGCACCATGTTGCGTTCAGAAAACAACACGGCCGCGTCCTTAGACTTCTAAGCAGTAGACAGCCGCCAATACTCATCCGGAACTAGGTGCACATGTTGGCAGCCACGTGTTGATCGGTTACTGATAAACCATGCCTTTTTGGGACACACTAAAGTCGTGGCAGATTGTAAGCGTCAATAGCAGTCCAGCAAGCTCGAAGTAACGATGAAGGAATTAGCGAAATGGCAGAGTATCCAGTTGGGGTGGAATCTCAGAGCCTACCCAATGCATGGCTGAAAAAACACATTCAGACTATGAATTGTTCCGAGTGCATACGCGTCACTTCCACAAAGGGAAATTCAACGAATTCGATCGCTTCAAAGACGCTTTCATCAGTTTTTATTAGTTACAGCTTTTGGCAACAGAAAGTGGTATACAGTATTGGATAATTCTGATGAAGACAACGCTGACAAAACTTGTCTCTTTAGACAACGAATTCAAAAATATAAATATGGTCAGAGCTAAAAGTGCTTATAATTTTCAAACCTACCGTCATTCGACATCGGTAGTAATATTCAATACCTTTTTGGAATGCCACGCTAACACGAGGTTGATAAAGATGTTTATTCGGCTAACCTTTCGACGTCTTCGTCTCCATCAGAAGCGATGATCCTAATCGATGGTCCACAGTCGTTCGTCTTCTCGTTGTGGCGTCTTTGCCGTTGTATCGAGTTGGGTCCTCTTAAGTGGAGCACCGCTCAAAAGAGGCACCGTAACCCAGCAGCACTTCTTTGTTCAGGACGCTCCGCTGAGGAAAATCCGACTCGATAAGGCGATAAGGACGCCACATCGAGAAGACGATGGACTGTGAGCCGTCGACTTGGATCATCGGCTATAATGAAGACAAAGTCGTTGAAACGTTATCCGAAGCAACAGCTTTATCAACCTCGCGTCAGCTTAACAATCCAGAGAAGTAAAAATGCCTATGTTCCAATGCAGTGAAAGAAATAAGCGTGAGTAGAGCAATGCTTAGAAATGCCGTACAAATCACATTTGGCCTGCGGTCCAAACCCCACCCTTGACGAATAATTCTTCCCATCTCCATCCGGAGTTGGCAAATTGGTATCATACCTGCTTGAGAAAACAACACTATGTTAGATAAATGTACGCGACTGTCTCTGGTGAACACTTGGAAACGTTCTAGGCAAATTATCCGAAGATTCTAGGATAAATGAGATCGACTAGTATTCAACGACTTTCAACTCGTGCGCAATGCCTAAGTCCGGGGATGACCGATGCAAGGCAACGAACCGACTGGAAAAACTGATACTTTGCTGTACAATATGTGAAATAGAACCACATGTATAAAATTACATAAATAAAAATTTAATAAGGAGCTACATCGATAATACTAACTTTCCTCAGATCTCTCAAAGCGCAGGTAGATATGACAGAAGGTGAAGTACTGCTTTTCAGGAATTCCGCTCACCCTTGTCACTGTAGCCAACGTTGCTAAGTTTATTTCGGAGACAATTTTTCTGATTCACTACGAGTTGTGGAAGTACTGGATACGGTGGAAAGCACAAAGAAAAGGCGAGGATTGGGGGAACGGGTCACTTTTCGCCGAGGACGAAGATGAACAGGTGAAATTTCGGTGTCTTCTGCGCTAAGGACGTTCACTTTTCAGTGATAGTTTTTAGCATAGCTACTAATGGTAATTCATCACTTACGAAGGATATGATAAAAACTCAAGCATTGACTTTAGGAGTAAATCTATGAGCAATCAATTGGTAGCGATGTATCCCCCAACACTCAATTTTTTGCACTCGTAGTAATCAATATTTTGCTAGGATTTGGAGCTTAAACGATATTGTTATATTAAATTTTATTGTGGCTAACGTTTCAGTACTATTTTCATCTTTAAAACTGCAATGATTCTTGCCCAGTACCCGCAGGACATTCTCTGGCGATGTGAGATTTAGTGCGATCGACTGAAATCCATTGGAGTGGACCACGCACGATTGAAATGAGCTCTCCCAGCGGTACTCTTCTGAACGAAGCGATTGCTGATCTGTTGCTATCCATTATGATTCGTTTTTATGTTAGCTAAAACATTCGAAGTTATAATAACCACGACTGAGAAGATGCACATGGAAAGACGTAAATGCTCTTGACACTGTAATCGTTGCGGCTAAGAAGAATGTGATGGCGCCGAAGCGTTAGTCACAATAAAAATTTATGAAGGAGCTCTTTGTCAGTTCAATAACACGCTAAAATACTGACTATTTAGGTCAAGGTGGAAGTCTGCTTTTAGAAATATGCATTGTGATCTTAATTTTCCTTGCAGTGGCTGCAAAATGCTTTGCTTTCCACAAAGTGTGCAGCATGCTGCCGATTTGGAAGTGCTTCTATAAGTTGCTGAGATGAACCCATTCGTTTGCTAAAAAAGGGAACTTGGAAAGCTCAAACGTTGAAAGCGAAAGGAAATGAGCTGCAGGGCACACAGAAACACCCACACATGAAATATCCACGGTTTTTGGGCCACCTATGTATACACGTATTTAGTTCAAGTGCGATTTGAGCAACTCCGTTTACAAAGGCGGACCATCGAAACATCGCAAACGGAAGGAAAATGATTTTTTATAAAAGCTTACTATTCTTTTCTCAGCAATTTACATCTTAAGGAGATACTTGATCGAGTGAAACTCGTACGCTTTCCTCCAATCGTCGTGTTCTTTTTCGTATTTCTCTACGGACTTCTGGCTTCCTATGTAATTCAACGAAAAGAACAGTGGAGTTACGTGGAGAGCATGTACTTCACTTTCATTAGCATTCTTACTGTAGGTCAGTGTTTCCGATTTGGAAATAGTTGCTTCAGTAATTTTTCTTTATGAAAATTGTTAAAATCTAAGAATTTTGAAAATTCTCATACTTTTAGGCTTTGGTGATTTTCGACCGTCACCCGAAAACCTTTGGACCACATTAGCCGTTGTAATTGGTAAGGAAGTAGAGCCAAATTCGTGAAAGCGTTTTAATCCCTTATTTGAAGTGAACTAAAAGATTTTATATGCTACTCTATTAGTTATTATCCTTTGTTAAAAAGGCGCAGCTGGTCTTCAGATGTTGTGCTTCGTTCTCTATTGTTTTTTTGCCCCACGTCTTCGTTCAAGTCGATGGCTGCTTCGAACATGGACGACGCTTACCAGATGCACCACATTATTCACGAATTCTTTTCTAAATGTGAAAGCAGATGATTGACGTGTGTAGACAGACGCTTAGTTGGTCGTCCTAGTAGATGCGTATTTCCTCCTGGAGTTCAATCTACTATTCTTTTCGCCTATTTATCGTCAACTTTTCTCGGTACATACCAGATGTTTCCGTTTGTGAGGTGTGCCATTTTTGATGTGTGTTCTCTTAGATTTTGAAGATGACTTCTGTTCAGATCGTGTAGCACGAATTGATGTTGCGTGCACTAGTTTTAATGCAGAACATTATGTGGTCGAGAATGGTGGGAAAGGTGAAGCTCCACACTGGGTTGAGGTGGCGAGAAAACACAGAGCAGTGCAAATAGGATAAATGCTGTCCTCTTCCAGAAGGGTTAACGCAAGCAATATGTTCTAGTCTATAGAGTTATTTTTTCATATTGTTTTCTACCTTTGATTAATGCCCTACGAACTAATTTTCCGATCCCAGATATGTTCCTGTCTTGCTGGGTTCGTCTTTTTAAATTGGTGCTCTAATACTTAAATCGAAGAAATAATAATGTCCAGTCGACTCGTTCCTTGGTTAATGAGACCAAGTAGGATAACGCTGACTTTGATACTGTCGAACACTGTTTGTGATTAACAGTGGTTCGAGTAATATCAAAAAAAAATAACAAATGAAAGAAACAGAAATAAAAGGATGAAGTCCAATGAAACAGGAAACAATGCAAACTTTTAATTTCTACGACCGACTTTCTATTAACCTCAGCATTGATCAAATAATTCTTCATATTCTTGTTGAGGAAACACGAGTTGTTATTTAACTCCTTATTCCGGTAAGGCTGACATTTCGGCGGATTTCGCCATCCTCAGATACTGGAGAGGTCAAGTTGACCGCAATCAACCCAACCAAACACCTCCATAACCAGAAAGAGGAAATGATAAGTCAAGTTTTCATCTAAGAATCTTGAAATCTCATCAGAAGAATTCATCATGAAAAATCAGAATCTCAACTAAGAATCTTGAAATCTTGTTTTAGCATCTTCTCTGTTTGGTTATGGAGGTGTTTGGCCGAATAGATTGGTGTCAGTTTGACCTTTCCAGGCTCTGAGGAAGGCGAAATCCGCCGAAACGTCAGCTTGTACGTAAATAAAGAAATAAAATAGCACCTCGTGTTTGCTGAACAGAAGTAGAAAGAATTATTCAATCAATGCCGAGGTTAATAGAAAGTCAGACTTGAGAGTTGCTATAAGAGGTTTGGTTAGCCCGGAGCACAGTCGAACTAGCACCATGCTCGTGATGACGGGCATCAGTACCACTGTGTTATCAGCTCCCATGAACCAATATGTAGCACATTAAAATGTTCAAGAGAGCCTGTAGCGCAGTGGCAGTGATTATGATCATTACAAGGACGGTCCAACCTGCCAGAGCTCTGGTACGATCCCCACAGAGTCCGTCAAGTCTCTCATCTCAGTCTCTCCAGTGTAAGGAAATTGGTGCCATATTTGTCTAGCCAAGCTCACTTTTTCCAATCCAAGTGGAAGTGGTCTCGCATGGCTATCTTACGAGTCTAGGGAGCATCGATTGTATTAGTATTAAACCGACATTCATGACGACGTCAAAAAATTCCTCAAGCACTAGCCGAATCCACGCGCAAAATCGCAAAACTTCCGTGGATGGTGAGTGCGAGGAAAGAAATTGAATGCAAGAACTGTTGGAACTCGCATAGTCTGCTAAATGCGGTGTTTGCTCACACAAGAAATAATAATAACGGTTACAAGACACATATCTTTGCCTACAGGATATAGTTCTGTTACATATCAAGACAAATTCTTTTGTTCTCGAGCTCATATCCGCTTCTTTTCGTGAGGTCTAGTATTTTGAACATCGAAGTGACTGAACGGTGTAGATTTCGTGGAGCAGTACAAGATGACGGAGTCGTTGGTGGTCGTCGTTACCGCATCGCACTTGAGAGTTTAAGAGTTCCAAGCTCGGTTTCGATTTTTAGGGAATTTTACTTTTAGGAATGTTTAGAACTGAGGCAATGTTTCACAAGAATCACGTAATGTCGAGAAATTACTTATTGAAGTCCTAGTTAGCCGGGTATTTATCATTTTATTTTATTGCATGACTCGAATCACATTTATCATATTGCACGGATCCCACCACTTCTTGCACTGAACTAGTTTCCTCGCTTCAACATGGATTGGAGAAAGTGTGTTTGTCCCAAACAAGTCTGTTACCAATTTTCTAGCCCGGAAACGACAGGCTTGGTGAGCCCGGTGCCGACTCGAACATTCACTTAGATAGGTTTGGTAGTCTGCGTAATGAGCGGGATTACCACATGGGCACTTACCACTCCATGGCAACTCTTACGTATTTGAAATTCGCTGTGACTTTCAGCTAGATTAACATGCTTAGTTTTGAAAACAATTTTTTTTTCATTTTATTTAACTCGTCTATGCATATCTCAGCACTTCTCACATTCGATTCGTTTCCTCGCATCTATTGTCCACGAAGATTTTCCAACTTTACGTGGGGCTTCGGTTGCTGCTTGAGGATTTTCACTTCGTCCTCAATGTTGTAGAATGCTGGTCGACTAATTCTCTCTGGGGTGCTGAGATTGCTGGGCTGAAACGTTCCAAGTTGGATTGCAGAGACGACTCCAGAGAGATGAGAGCCTTGTTTGGTCCGGCGCGGAATCGAACTAACACCATGTTCATGTATGACGGACATCACTACCGCTGTGCTCTCCGCCCCTTGTTTTGAAAAATATCAATAAAAAATATTTAACGTCACTTCCTGAAATAGATGAGTGTGAGAGTGGTTTGAACTTTATGCTCTTAAATTTTTTCTCTTAGTTATCGATTTTGAACAATTTCTACCAGCTTATAGTAAATATAAAGGGCCTATTTATTTGCAGGTCGTTAGTTTACCTTGTTAACACTAACCTTAATACACATGAAAAAATTGTACCAGTTTTCGGAGCAGTGATTTATTCCAAAATTTTGCATTAAATCTGATTAGATTAATAAGAGAAATGCCTTGCTATTAGGATGGAATTGGTGAAATATGAAGTTCACAAATGAAAAATTCACTCTTTTTCGCGGGAAGCGATCGGCTTGTCATTTGTTCTGCTCGTCTCTATTTTTTGTTTTTTTTCTTACTAAGGTGGACGATGAATAAAAGAAGCTCTTGTCCTTGATCAATCCCTTAGGGATGCGCCACGCATTCGACTTCATTAAGCATCGTTGGAAGTGATTGGATGCATACCTGGCCTTCACAATGACACGTAGTGGCTTACCGATGTATCGAGCCAGTGCTGCTATCCTCCCAGACAAGTCTGGTACCAATTTACCAATCTCGCAGGGATGGAGGGCTTGGGAGCCACGAGCGCGGAGGTCGATCCCGTGTGTGTATCGTAGGGGGCCTCCAACCACAGCGCCACGCGCCCACGTACTAAAGTGGACGTGGATTAAATTGTTTACGGTGGACCTAACTGAGAAGAATCCCTATTTATATTATGATTGAAACTTTATCTACTAATAAACTTTAGGTGGCGTAATTTTGACGACTATGTGCATGGATGTTTTTGGCCGGATGTATCTGAAAGAAATTCATTATCTTGGTCGGAAGCTGAAGAGTAGCAATCCTTTCTATCTCATCCGAGAGGCAAAGGCTCGGTTTGTATGATTTTAGTAGTACATGGTGCTTGAAAGGAAAAATACTTTCCAGTTTTTAATCCAATGATATGTTGGCATAGCTCAGCAGAATGATTTACCTGAATAAGCTTATTGCTCTCTCAACTTACCTAAGAACTTCATCGCTTTATAGCCGTTGAAGAAAGTAATTAAGTGAAAAATGTCAAATCAGATCTGGTTGGTACAGAAATATGTAAAACTGCAAGGCACTTGATGCATATTTGAATTGTAGTGAGATGAACTTTAGAAGTACAGCGAAGGATTCGTAATACTCTTTTGTTTTCACGATGATCGGAAGCATTTTCTTAAGGCGACGTCGGGCGGCGATGGCTTTGTTGCTGGCGCAGCTGGCTAGAGGAATGATATTTGCGCACAAGGACTACAACGAGCTGTCTCGGAAAAAGTCCAAGAAAAAACGTGCCAAAAGACGAGGCAGTCACGTCCGTAGGTTTCTCCACATTTGTCGAGTCGATACGGCCATTCATGGACTATCTATTCGAAAAAAATACTCAAACTCGGGTTCACATATTCTATAGGAAACAGTGAAAAATGAAAGGTGTTCAGCAGAGGTAATGAAATCTTGTAGTAGTCCGGGTGGTGAGTAAAAGCGCAGTAAAGCGTATGCCGGCGTTTCGTGACATGATCTTCTTTTCTCAGATAGTAAAGTCTTATCGTTTAACTGACGTTTTTCTGATCAAGTTCAGTCAGAACATCCAGCATTTATCTGATCTCACTATGGTAGATGTGCACGAACAGCATTTCCGTTTGAGTTGGCAAAGAGAGATTTTGTTCTCGCTCGTTCTATCTTAGGTTTTTTGCGTTTGGTGAAATTTGGAATGGGTTTCTAGCGGGAGAAATAATAAGGAAAGCCTTGAAATAATATGCTGTCATCAGACTGTACATATTTAACTAGTGTTTGTTCACTATTTGTGACAGCCACAATTCATACAGATAGTATCATCGAAGTGTTTCAGTACCCAATGAAAAGTTCATGTTTGCTCGACTACCTCCGGATCCTCCGTCTGATTGTCAGGTGGGTTTACTCTGTTAATGTATACGCTTATGATCTATTCATCGTCTGGTCGTTTTCTGGTATATTCCACTGTTTATGAGACTCTAAAACTTTTAAAATTTATAGAGGTAACTTGCTATTCATTTACATATGAATACGAGTTAAATCTTAACCGCTAGGTAATAAGCACCTCCGCTTATTCGGTGCGCATCGCCTGGGCTCCAGCGTTCTCCTCCGAATCCGACCTCACCTACAACATTCGATATCGTCTCAAGTTTGTTCATTTTATATTTTGAATTTCTTTCGGCAATAGCTCAATTTCTGTACCTGAAGTTGTTAAGGTTTCCAATTAAATTTCGTATAGCATAACACACGCTCGGTCAACTCATTTTGTGGCTCACCACCAGTGGTTCTATGACCACCTAACTCGAGTAAGCACCAGCAGACTCATTATTGCTCCATGTCGCGTGGCGAAGTTGCACAAAGGAGACGAGCACGAGACTCCTAATTAGAAGACTCTTGTCTTATTGTTTTTGTGGAAGGAGCAGACATGGGAAGCTTACCATGCTACGCTTCAGACAAGCCAAGCCCTTGGGCGAGCTCCCAGATGGAAGTGTTAAATTGGTCCTTAGCTTGGAAACCCTTTTAGAGATAAACTAACGCAATCCATCACCATTCGATATAGAGGAACATCTCCCAGCCACGCTGAGGCAGCGCACCTTCGGGGGCGCATTTGTAGAGGCCGAAGACTAGGTTGATTTTGGCTTATGAATGTATTTAGTCATTTCTTAGCTAGTACAATATTAGTAAACTGCTTTAATACAAACAGCATCTCTAACGAAATCATAACTGTAAGTCACCTCCTTGGTTCACTGAATGTGAAACCATTCAGTGACACCATAGATTTTGTGCGATTCGTTTATAGTCAGTTGTGCCACAAGCCTTAACCCAGTATAGACGTGTGTACCGTTGCTGTTCGAACTTGAGATCAAGAACAAACTCGCGGTTTCACAAATTTCGGTTTGTTTCACGTTTTTCCATTCACCGGTAAGCATGTCGTTCTTGAAAGTCAACTCGCATTTCGACTTTTATGACGAATTGTACAAAAAGCCGTATCAGATTATCACCGAGAGCAGCAATTTTGTCATCCGTAAACGATTGAGCGGAGTTGGTTGTTATCAACGTTGTCGGTGTTTCTGCAGGCATAACGAAGATGGGAAGGTTCGTGAACTGCGAGGCATCAAGGGCAACGCGGTCGAGATCATGAGCGTCGACTCGTGCTCGCTGTACGAGTTTCGTATCACGGCAGCCAGCAAATACGGCGAGAGTAAGCCTATCTACCTCGTGCAGTACACCGGTGAGTTCGTCTGAAGCCAGAACGTTCTCCAGAAAATACTTGTGGTAATATGCAATTTTGAATGCTGACATCTTTTTCCCAATCTCCCTTAAGCATAAATCGCTCAAATCTCGGAGATAATGAATAGTCCGTATGAAGTGCTGAGATATTTGCAAAACTCCGGAACACAGGTCCGGGACCCGGATGGTGTAGTGGTGAAGTGCGCTGCTCCCCGGTAAGGACAACAGCGCGTGTTCGTTCCCCACTGCATACACCTGTGGTCCGGAGTTTTGCAAATATCTCAGCACTTCATACGAGTTATATTTCACAACATACCCTGCCATTAAGAAGAAAAAGGCAGTAAATAAAAGAGTTAAGATAATGAATAGTTTCGATTGCTGATCATTTAAAATCTCAGAATTCTTTGGCATGCGAAAAATTAGGTTCAGTGATTGGACCATCACTATTTCAACGGTATTTTCAATAATACTTTGTTAACCTCTTTTAAAAAATTCGCCAAAAAGATATATGGGATATATGAAAAAACATAGACCTGATTCAGCGGGATTTGCGGCCGGAATTAAGCTGTAGCTTAGTGTCTTTACTGAATTATCCTTTAACTTGTTCATCTTGAAATTATGCGATTTTTCCTTTCTTCCTACTACAAGGTTTTGCTTGAAGGAACAGAAACGAAAGCAAAAAATGAAGACAAGAAAAACAGGAAAAAACAAAAACAGGAAAAGAAATTTGGAAAACGGCGAAAAGCACGGATGAATTTTGAAAAAAATTCTGGAGGGAATGGGCAGAAATGGAACAGAGAAATGTTGTAAGTGTTGCAGAACCGCAGCTGAGCCCTCAGCATATCCTGGCGACAAAGCTGAACGCCAACACCATTGAACTGACTTGGGAGCCACCATTCAAGAGAACTCATGAAGTGAAGGTGAGCCTCGTACAGCCCGGCGACGGAATCTACCATTCATGCTACAAACTTTTTTTATTCTCGTAATCTACTTTTGCTTTATATTTGTTGCACTTCATCGTATATTTTTATGTTCACTATTTTATATTTTCTAAATATTATACCTATCTATCAGCTACCTATCCAAAAAATAACTCGAAGCCGTTGTCATTTGTTTTACTGTTTTTTGAACAATCCTTCGATAATCAAAATTTACTTAGTTTTTTAGAACTATATTGTTTATTTCACTGAGAATCCGAACGCGTCACTATCGGAATGGGAGAAAATTCCGGTGAACAGTAGACAGGTAAGGTCGACGCTTGCTTTACTCTAACTGACAGTAACATTAGCGTCTAGTTAATAAACCGGTGGTGACTACATCTACCGCTCTTTTACATAGACTTTTTTTATGTCGTGCCAAGCTTAGAACATTGCTCTAATTCTTATAGATTGTGTTTCCGGATCTCCGCTTCGATTGGTTTTACATGTTCAGCGCCACAGCTGTATTCAAAGATGGACAACGTTCTCCTCTTTCAAGAGCGTTATTCATCAAGACCGACAAGTTGGAGTTCCACAAACATTGTAAGCCATTCATATAGTGAAATTAACTTAAGTGAATTGATAATAAATTAGTAATTTAAGTTTCCTATAACTCTAGTATTCACTGGGTTGCTCAAGAAAACATTGGTGAATCCTCTATCGCATGTCAAAATTTTCAGTATGCTGCTTACAAGATGTACGGAGTAATTGAGAATCAATTTCCTATTTTAAGGTTTTTATAACTTATTTTTTAGCCACAACATTTGGAAAAATGGGCAGGAAATAAAGTGTATAGCATGAAGTTCGCTAATAGCTTTTTAAGTCGTCTGGTAACTGCATCAACTGATATCACCGGGAACTCTTTAACTGCATCAACTGATATCACCGGGAACTCTTGTGAAATGAGAGACATAACTTTTGCTATTCGTCTTTCAGTTGTTCCAAAGTCGTTGGTTTGGCAGAACAGATGTACTGCTTCAACCAACCTTGAAGAAAAATGTCGTAGGATGTTGATGTTTGGATATCAGACAAAGAGCTTGTTATGTGGAGCTGACCACAATCTTGTGTTCGTCCCAGTCACTCACTGCAGTATTTATCTGGATTGACATAGAAAATATATGGGGCATATACACGAACACACCCAAACATATTTGCAGCATATTTACTATAGTCGATATAGCGAAAGATGTCAGCGCGGTCGACACAAGGAAGTGCACCAGTTGAGTCCACTTGGTTATCTCGGTTGAAATTGCAGTCCTTGTTTAATTCCATACTCGCTACTAGCTGGTTGAGTATTTGTCCCATCCGTGAAGATTAGCTGCACTCATTTCGGAGAGCAATCGTTAAGGGACGAATGAATTCTGTGGTAGGTCAGAGCGCGGTATTTATTGGTTAACTACTCTAGATATACAAAGAACCAAAGATCAACGGAGGAATTTTTACATCCATTTCTACTTTCTCCCAAATGTGATGAACGATCTGTGAAATTTCAGGCGTGGGTCAATCACGAACTATCGAGGTAATGGATTCGATATGTGATCGAGCAGAAGATAACGAGAACACCGTACTGCTCAAACGCGACTACGCCTCATTTGCTCTTTAAAGCATTTGTTCTACTGTTCTTGCTACAATCGCTTCTGAGAAGCGATTAACCTATAACTTTGAGTGGTTCACAGCACTCCCTGTCTTTCAACATTTTTCCTTCGTCATTTGGTCTTCCGTAATCGTTCAAAAGTCATCAGTTTTTAGCGTTAAAACATTTGAAATGGCTAAGATAACATCCATTTTAGTTGTAGCCTAAATACACCACCAACTCTGTTCGTCAAAAACTTTGATATCTACCAACAATTCCTAGTTAATTGGCATTAAAGTTTTCCTGAGTAGGAATTACCTGCTCATTGGCTACAGTGCGATGAACCATTATAATCCTAGTTCATCAGCATAATTGGAAGCTTTATATTCTGTTCTATACATTCCTATCCTAAAAGCCAAGTAGTGGCCTTGATGGCGTTCGTGTTGAAAATGACGGTGCCATTGTGGACTTCGGTTGAACCTCGACGGCGAATGAACCAGCAGTGATGTGCGTGGTGGAGTTACCTCCCTCGGACACATTATTACCGCTCATTTCTTCGGGTATTAACAATGGCCGTGAACAATGAGTGTGCGAAATCTAGCACCGAGGAATTGCTTAGATGTGAGGAGAATTACAAGAATTTCACTTTGTTTACTAAATTATTGTTTGCAAAAATGGCTTTATGTGCCATTTTCTTCCAACTACTGTAAAGCTTCAAGTCTTGGCTCTGCGTCAAAGGTTATCTAGGGGTGTTTGTTTGTAGAAAGTGTGTGTAGATTCGGCAAGAGCACAGATGCCCTCATGCAGTTCCGGTAGCGATTTCGTAATGGGTGTTATCTGACCTCTCAGCATGTGCATCGACACGGTATCGGCGCTATGAAAGAGGTGACAAAGCAACCGGATGGAGCAACGGAAAGTGTGCATCCTCGCTTAGGTTACGCTAGCGTCCATTGAGTATTCAGGAGCAACACCACTGAATAGAAAATACATTTGAATTCCACAAAATACTGTTAGAATCTATTAGTAAACAATACGCAGCGTATACAATATATAAGTAACGCAGTAAAACACAGACAGATAGCACAGTGGTAGTTACGTTTGTGACCACATCCATGGTGCTAGTTCTGTTCTGTTTCAGACTAACCAAGCCTCTTTTTCCTCCGGGGTCGGAAAATTGGTACCGGACTTGTTTGGAAGAAAAATCACGCTCTGTAATCCAATCGGGAACACTCCAGCCCGGCTATTTCAGAGCTCCAGACGGAATTGCTCGACCAGCATTCTACAACATCCTAGATGAAATGAAAATCCTCAGACAGCAGCCGAGGCCAAACGTAAAAGTTGGAAGATCTTCCTGGACAATGAGTGCGAGGAAACGAATCGAATGTAAGAAGTGCTGGGATCCGCCCAGTAGACGTGAAGACGGGTCACGTAAAAAACGCAGTAAAATGCAAGGGCATTTTATCTAAATAGTAAGGTAATACGGCACTTTATTTTAGACATTATCTGAAGCGTCAAGGTGGTAGCGATAAGGGGACAGTGTGTGGTAAAGGAAAAAAGCGATCAGGATGGCTTAAGAAAGCGATACAGGCCAAAGGACGGTAGCAATAAGTGCCTACACTGTGATGTAGAAAAGAGAGCTGTTCTTGGAGAAAAAGCAAACGTTATCAAGCAGCAATACAGTAGTCAAAGTTGCTCTTATTTTAATGGAACTTTTCACTCTCTGGAAAAAATTCGATTACCGTCGATAGCCGCTTCCCCGCATGCGCTCTGCAGACATCATTATCTTAAATGGCATTAAATACTTTGGTGAATCTAACTGCTTCAGAACCCTACCAAAGTTGCTGCGATGAATACTGGAGATGTTGAAAAGGCTGCAACAAAATGTGCAAGTTGTTACCGCTCGGTAGCAAAACAAAAAAGTGGTTCTTAGCGCATTAACGATAATATGGTTAAATTTTTAGCCTGACCTTGATTGATGTTTTGAACATGCATCGCGTTAGAGTATTATTTTACCTTCGTAGACAGTAACAGTGCTTTTAGGTAAAGAATATAAGACTTATTGAGAACATTTATTTAGCATAAAATTAACATTACTTGTCACTCCGAATATCAAGCGCAAATCCCCACAGGTCTCCGACTGGCCTGCGAATCCTCTCACTAGTCGAGGGATCTTTAGGCGTGTCAAGTTGGCTACCATCCACGACTCCATCCACATCATGAATGGTCGACGCTCGATTAGCGTAGCTCCTCCGTTCGAGGCGCGCTCTTTCTCGGCACCTGCCCCTAGGTCTCCCACACCCATGGCTCAGGCCGTTCCGTTGGCGGTGTCGTTTGACGGCCGTCTTGCAAAACCGCAATTGTCGTGCTTTCGACCATTATGCGGTCTTCTCGATCAGCTCCTAGCACGCTACGGCCGTCGAAAAGCCCAAGTGTCGATTAGCATTGTTAATGAGTGCGCGATCGTGTGCCTTTCGCTGTACCCTACCGCAGCCTGCCAACGGCGACACATGTTTCTCAATAAAAAACGCCCGACATTTTCTAGACGCAACCGCCAGATGAAAAACAACAGTATCATCGCATTTAATGAGCTTAAGATACCCGACAGGAGACACCCGGCAGAAGAATTGAGCACCACGAAATGAGTCATGAGCGGGGAAAACCTCAGTACATAGGACACCACCCTGATGAACTAAGACAGCTTCTAAATTTTATGAACTTCATTCTATCGAAATACAAAGCCACACCTCTAACCGTTATCATTTTTTAAATGAAGTTGAGAAAATTTGATGTTGTTATCCTCATGTTTCCTATCATAACAGACGAGGCGACAGCTTGTTTAAACAGAAACTGTCGTAAATAGAAAAGATAATCTCGTAACCTTCTGTTCGTCTTTGCAAACATAGCGCGGATCGTGTTCCATTGGCAGAAATTTAGAAAGCAACACCACATTCTATTAAGAAGCTGGTAACTGCTCCTAGCTCTGACGCTAAAGTTGCCTCGAAGACTAGGAATTCTTTGATTCAACTACCATTCTATATGGTTCACAGGCTAATTAATGCTTAAAGTTTTATATTCATACTTAAATAAGTGTTATTCTGACTAAATATTATAGTATCATGAATGGGAAATATTTCCAATCTCGCTTTAACTACTGGATGAAAAAATCTAGAAAATGACAAGACTAATCAAAATAGTAGAAGGCTCGATTGAGCTTTCTGGAAATCCCTTCTCTCTGTGTTCAACTATTCGGTTGTCATGGCTGTACAAATGTAGATATTCGGCGCAATTTCTGAAACTCTTTATCCACTGTTTCTCATCAGCTTTTTACTAGCATTAATGTCCTTGATTTGGCCATTACGAGAGTTTTCTATGGTTGCATGCTGCAATCAGGAAATCCATGATTTTCTTAAACTACGATCGATTCGTTGAACGACTCCTGGAAAAGTACAGAATTTGCCCTGAGCTCAGTTCGCAAACGAACCGTCACTCATCCAGAAAGCTGTTTTCGCGCCAAACAATCAATAGATCTGTGGGATCCATGGTCGGAAAAACAGTGTTTAAAATAAAAAGAATGGAGAGAATCAGTGGCAATAAGATGACAGTGAGAAGCTACAAATGAAAAAGATTCAGATACAGAAGAAACGCTAATTGAAAGAAGAAATATTGTCTCTGCAAGTGCCTATAAAAATAGCATACTATATTTTGTATAATCAGAATCTTTAAGCTGAACAACTAGACATGTTTTCTCTGAAGCATTGCTGAAAAACTGATAGCATCCTCTGAGCTTGATTCCACAGTGCTACCAGAAAATGAACTGCGACTTTCGTAATTGTTGCAAAAACACCATTTCTCCCAATGAAACAAACTGAATTAACTGCTGTCAAATCTCAATCCTTCTTCATCTTTTTGTCCTTTGGTCGCCATTTATAGGAAGTGGGCAGTTTATAAGCGACGAATCAGTTCATTGAGACTTTCATCCAACTTAAATAACGAGGTGCGATGTGAGTTTATCCACATTTAATTTAAAATGGGCAAGCTCTAGTAATACCACAAACGAAAATAGAATTTTGGTTATGGAGGTGTTTCGTTGGGCAGGTTATGATCAACCTAACCTTCCAGGTTCTGGGGAAGCCGAGATCCGCCGAAACGTCAACTTGTGCACAAATAAAGAAATAATAACAGCTCGTGTTTGTTAAACAACAATATAAAAAATTATTCGATCAATGCCGAGGTGAATAGAAAGTCGGTGGTGGGAAAATAGAAGTGTTGGCTGAGTCCTTGGCGTAGGCCGTGCTGCGCCATCATGTTTCACTGGATGGAACAATTGGCTCACATAGGTTCGTCTGCTAACGATAAAACACCGACTTTTCTCTCGACCAACATCTATAAGTCGCCCTGAAGTCTGAATCGAGAGCTACTCCATCAACAAACTCCTTGAAAACACAGTAATGCAGCAAAACTTCACGAGCTTCATCATCGTCGAGTTCTCTCCTATCGTCTTGTTTCACCGTTTTTTCCTTTGAAAAGACGGTTTCTGAATGGATAAGAACGAATAGCTGAAGCGGAATCAATTTGATGAGCCGCTCATCGTGGTCGGCTTCGTCTAGCCGGCCGATTCTTTATCATCTGTGCAAATGAATCAATGCTCTCGTAATTGCTGCAAGCAATTACTTATGTACATAAAGCCGTACGAGAGGACTAATGACAGAGAGCCTCAGCTTTCGTCATGTTAAAGATCGTCCTCTTTGCAATTTCGCCTTAACCTTATCATCTTCATATCGATTTGTGTAATCATCTGCAGTTCTGCGCCTAGGCGGTCATTTCCATTAGTCCTAGAATATGTCGACAATGCCGGATTTGTGGGAATCTTTTCAAAACTTAACAATAATTTTCTCTCACCACTATGAAATGCGAACTTTTCCAAATCTGACTGTCATACTCCACTGGTCCACTCGACTGCAACTCATTTCATTCAGCACATTTTGTTGCAAGCGAACTTTGAGAACTTTGAAATCCAGGCGGATCGTTTGCTTTTCGAGAAGCTGCAGTTTTCAAAAGCTTAGTTATTCTGTCAGCTAAATATTTATCAACAGCTCCTTATTTGTTAGCCACAAAAAAGCTTACAAATCATCTAATCAAAAATTAGATAAGCACCCATATCTTTCTTCGTACCTATATTAATATTTGTATATTCGATTCATTTTTATTCACTTATCGACCAGGTTAGTTATGGTAGCTTTGCAAAAAATTTGGCCTCTGTGTGAATTACGCAAAACTCATTGAAGCGGCAGGAAACCTAGCAAACGTCCTGAACAAGGTTCTTGCTGTTGCCGAACATGGATGTTTTCTTATCTTATTTTAATTATTTTGTTTTAATATTTCTTTGCATTGCAGTGGTTCCTCGATCAGGGCTTTGATGGGCCGAAATGTCAACAACGCCGTTCCGGCGGCTCCCCAGAACTTTTCGCAGTTCATCGTCAGGTCAACGACACCTCTAAGGTCGTTTCCGAGATATGTTCAACGAGAATTTAACAAAATAAAGAACAGGTGGTTAATGTTGCGATCCTACGTATGGACTTGACTAGACGATAATGTTAATACTCTTCAGAGAAAACTTGTTAGGTAGAAAAGAAGAGAAGAGGATTCTTTGTCGAACAAAAATTATCCTAGAAACAACCTATCTATCGCCATGGAGTTCTTACAATAATAACTTGCAACTCAGTTTGGTTAGCTCAGTTTTGGGGCACAGAATATGCCTTAAGTTGCTTCCTCAACATTTTTACTTATTAAGCAAAATTAGTGATACCCTGTTTATAAATCGGAACTTTTCCTACCGTGAGCAAAACTATTTATGGAAGTGTGCTATCTGCAGAATGTTTCGATTTATTACACCCAAATTTCTGCGTCGTACAAACGGCTAGTTGTGGACGGTAACCGCTGAACATTCGAGATCACGGTTCTTGATGTTTATATAAAGGTTTGTATGCATGTGGGATCGTCATTGATAAAACACTGAGAAAATTCGCATCCTCGGGCTGGTAGGGTTAAGCCGACTAGATTTGAAATCCTCAACTGCTCTTAAGAATATGACCTTATTAGGAGCGCGAATCGCTGGTGATTCAACGACAAACGGTTCCTCTAATGATGTGGCATTGTTTCGATACACCAAGCCAGCACACCAGCATGCGTTCGTTGGACAATTATGTCAAATCAAAGCCAGCTGTCCCTCCTACCTCATCCACCGTGAAGAATTGTCCATTGGCGATTCGTCCGTGAAAAGAAAAGAGCAGAAAAACCACTTATATGGAAAACAACGGTGGAAAAAGCAAGAGAAAACGATACGAATGTGGTGCACACACCCCCACATGAGCTCGCATACTCATCAGAAAGTCGTTCTTCTCAGAATCTCAGACAACAAGGCGCAATCACGTAATCCTACTAAGTTTAATCTAATCATACTAACTGTTGTTTTACTGCCAACATGTTTTTGTCGTTATTTATCTAGAAGGAAAACTTTTTTCGTGTTTTGGTCACATAAACTAGTTTACCATTATGAAGTTTCTACTAAAATGTTCTCGAATATAATCACAAGCCCATTTTTTGTTAATTAAACAACTAATAACGGTTAAAAAATGAGAGTCAGGCGAAACGAAGGACCCGCATGGTGTGGTGGTGAACGCGTTAGCCCTGAAAAGGGTAATAACGCGTTCGTTCCCCACCGCAGACACTTGCGACCCGGAGTTTTGCAAATATCTCAGCATCACCGTAATTAAAAAATTGTTTAAAAATCGGAACAAAAATACTTTTTCGAAATATTGCTAGTTTTCGCAGGCTGAGAGAGTGGCACTTTAGTACGTATTTCAAAGAGTTTTTGATCACATGAAGATAGTACGCTGTTTGGTGATCACTTCGCAATTTGAAAAATGAGCGACATTAGCATTTACACTTCAAAACAAGATTTTATTCAGTTTATAACAAACCTTATGAGGTTTTGGCTAGTTTGTTTTGAACTTCTACACTTATTATAAATTAAATGATGCCAACAGTTTGGTGCGCAGCCCTTTTGTCCAGGGCTATTTTGTGACGGAACTCTCATTCGAATTCCTCTTCACTTTCACAGTTTGAAGTCACATCAGTTCGGCACGCCCTCTAATAAATTCGTTATTATTAAAGAGATACCGTATCGCTCCCAGGACAACATGCGTCCGGGGATGTGCGATTGGTCGACGACGATGAACGGGCCCCGCCCATGTAAAGCCACGCCTTCCGACACGTCGCCGATTTTCGCAAACGGGAAGGAAACGGTTCCGGAATGGACGCCAAGCCGGAAAACCCAGTCAAAGCCGAGCAGTCTGTTCACTTTCCATTTCTACAGGTCAGTCGATACAGGTGTAACCTATTCATCGTCTCTAATATTACCTATCGCGTCAGTTTTAACGCTTTTGTGCAGCCCTTCCGTTTCTTCCGCTTAGAGATCTTGCAATTCAAGCAGAGTTTAAAGGTTAGCATCGTTGATTGACAGCTGCTTCAATTTTTACTTTTCACATCTACTACTGCCTTCCTTCTTCGTAAAAGTATCGGTGTTCCCATTGACATTCTGTTCTTCAAACAGAAATATAATCGAACTCGAAGTTTCCAACTG